TAGTAGTAGTAGTAGTAGTAGTAGTAGTAGAAGTAGTAGTAGTAGTAGTAGTAGTAGTAGTAGTAGTAGTAGAAGTTGTAGTAGTAGTAGTAGTAGTAGTAGTAGTAGTAGTAGTAGGAGTAGTACTAGTACTAGTACTAGTACTAGTACTAGTACTAGTACTGGTACTAGTACTAGTGCTAGTACTAGAAACAGGAGTTGCTGTTGTTGATGAAAACTTTTGGGCGGCCCTATGCAAAGCTCGAATCGGCACTCGCGCAACCTGACTGTGAGTAGGCGAGAAAGGAGTTAGCACGAAGGAGCTTATTATTGCACTTTGGCATCCAGGCTAAGACCCCAGACCGAGCAGCCTGCAAGCCGGTGGAACTGTAGCTTTGTAAAGGAAACATGGGTAGGTACTACACAAAGCCTGCTGCGAGTGTGGCTGAGCCAGTGAACCACCAGTCCAGTACATTGCTCTGCCCAGTGTACTCCATGTCGGCCAGGTCTAAGACCCGTGTTAACTGTTCCACCCCTGTACTGCTAGTCCTCCTGGTATTGGTACTGGTAGTGGTAGTAGTAGTGGTAGTAGTCGTAGTAGTAGTAGTACTACTACTACTACCACCACTACTACTACTACTACTACTACTACTACTACTAGCAGTAGTAGTAGTAGTAGTAGTAGTAGTAGGAGTAGGAGTAGCAGTAGCAGCAGCAGCAGCAGCAGTGGAAGTAGCGGTAGCAGTGGTGGTAGTAGCAGTCATAGCAGCTAGAAGGGCAGCAGTAGTAGCAACCGACTCGATCTTCATGTCAATGCACGCCCAATGCACGTTCATGGCGGGAAGCAGGACAGGCGGCTGTGGCAGTGTTCCAACTCGCTTTCAAGCAATGATTGCCCTGCGGTCTCGCCAATTTCAATTTGGGAGTTCGATTTCGCTGTGGTTGCAGCCCCCTTCTTTGTCTTTGTCTCCTTAACTTCGAGCAACAAACCACCATGGCCCGCCCAACGCTTTGCCTGGACACGACCAACCCATTTTGCAACGGACAACGGTCAGCATATCCTTGAAAAAGCAAGCGAAAACAGCAGCTAAGGTTAATTAGAATGCCAAGCGTACTCTGGCACTGTATTCACATACCATGGAAACGTGCATGAAAATGAGCATGGTCAGTGGCAACCTGTTTCCGAGCGCCACAGACGCTCTCAACGGCTGTGTGCAGAAGCGAGTACGAAGTGTTCATGGGGTAGTGGAGGCTTCGTGTTCAATGAGTTTGCGCAAGATGTCACGTGGCTTCGCTGGATCCACGCCCATGCCCACGCAGACCATTGCTAGATGCTTCAAACCACACCGTAGGCGTGCTGCACTGAAGAACAGGGAGTGATGATGATTTCGAGCTTAATGTCGCCATGACATCGTGGCTCTTTCTGAAAACTTCTTCAGAAAGAGCCACGATGTCGGATCCGAAAAGTGGTTCACGGCTCATGGGCTTCAGGCGAACAGATCTTGACGCCCCCGAACTTCGTTTGGGCTAGACCCTGATCCTGCGCAACACCCCGCAAAGATCTTGCACGACGGTTTACAAGCTTCACCACGACGAATGGCTACAACAGATAGCTTCGTGCTGATGTGAAACTTCGCCTCACCATATGCCTACCACTCTTGAACTCACCGCTGTCAGCTTCTACGGACATGAATCACGTCCATACATCAATACTCTTCTCTTGAATTGAAAACTAGATGGTTGAAAACCCTACTTCAACTTGATCTAGACAGCACCATGACCATGAATGAAGCTTTGCTTTTAAGTGTGCTGAGACCAGAATTACGCCGAGCCTGCGCAACTTCGCAATGCAAGCCTACATGCTCAAATATACGGGAAGGGAACCTCATGGCAGCATAACCCAGTATTGCACACGGCTACAAGAAGAACTGCAACTCAGCTACTCGTCGCCTTCTCTGGCTCTAAGCCCGAGACAAATATTTCCATTGCACGCCGTAGCGCTGGAGACATCGTAGGTTTCAGCTGGCATGAAGCTGACAAATGCTTCTGGCCATCAGCTTCTAGCTGGCGGCAAAAACCCGACAGTCTTCATGCCAGCTACAGACATGCTTGAAACTTTCAAACTGAACATGCCGGGAATGACTGGTTTGATCCGTGAGCTGGAAGCAGCCGACACCTCGACAGTCAGATCGAGCTACGAATGGAAGTAGTAGCATATGGCCCGAGACCCCAGTCACCTGCAGTTGTGCCGGTGGTGAAGAAGCCAGCGAGTCGTCGCTTCTCCTTGTCAGCGTGTCAAGCCGGGGAGTTTCCCAGCAGCATCACTACGTTTTCGTGTTAAACGTCATTTGTATCATCAATCATCGTACAAATTCTCAGCCCTGACAAAACCGCGGGCATTGCCGCGGCGACTACGACTGCAGCAACTGGTCGTCGCAGCGGTTGTGAAAAGTAGCAACAGTGACAGTGGCAGCAGCGGAAGCCATGGGATTTAAAAAACAAGAAGAGCTTGCACCTGGAGTAGCAGCAACATTGGCCGTCGTCGTCGGCGACGACGTGGCAGTAGTAGTAGTAGTAGTAGTAGTAGTAGTAGGAGTAGTAGGAGTAGTAGGAGTAGTAGTAGTAGTAGTAGTAGTAGTAGTAGTAGTGGTAGTAGTAGTAAGGAGTAGTAGTAGTAGTAGTAGTAGTAGTAGTAGTGGTAGTGGTAGTAGGTAGTAGTAGTAGTACTACTACTACTACTACTACTACTACTACTACTACTCCCACTACTACTCCTACTTACTACCACTGCTACCACTACCCGTACCACTACCACTACTACCACTGCCACCACCACTACTACATACTACTACTACTACTACTACTACTACTACTACCACCACTACTACTACTACCACTACCACAACCACTACCACAACCACTACCACTACCACTACCACTACCACTACTACTACTGCTACTACTACTACTACTACTACTACTACTGCTATGAGAACTGTTATGAGAAGTGACAATGACGACATGAAGAAAGCAACTGTCAACACTACTACTAAAACTAACAAGGATCCTACATAATGACAGTCTCTGACAGTCAGAACAGTCTTGGGCAAACAAGCAACAGCAGTCAAGTCTATAAAACAGCCCAAGGATGTGGCGAAACACCACGCTGCATCAGACGCGTGCAAACATGATGACTTCGGTCCGTAGAAGTGACAGCAAGCTGACTTGTCGAAGCTCCCATGCCAACGTCCTCTTCATCCGAGGTGACCTCGAAAGCTGCCATGTGCCTCACACACTGCCGGATAGTTCTGCAGGGCCACGATCACCTATTGCGAGCTTGGGGTTGGGCCCCGGATAGACTTCTTCAACCTTGTGCTGAACGTATCTTCTCTCCTGCCAAGAGCACGTCGCAACTGATGCTTGCATTTTGCTCGGCACTATTCCAGTCGATCCGCAAAAAGACGTCTCTTTAGATGAAATTGCGGACACGAATCGCATCAAGTTCAAGCAGAGGCTTACGTCTTAGGTCGCGGATTTCGTGCGAATGCTTGCACCGCAGACTGCTGAATCCACCCAGCCTGGATTGGAACATGTCTGTGCAACCGACTCTTGCATAGTACAAGCCTGAACCTGAAGGACCTGCATGCAAATCCCACGGAACACCAAGGCAAGACTGTAACAAGCCACAAAGGCCGACAAGAAAGGGCTCACCATTTGAAGGCAGCCGACCTGGTTCGAAGCACGCGCTGCTTCGACAAGATCGTTCAAACCTTGGGTAGACCTGAGCTGTACCGTTACAGTGACCGGCGGGACGCGCATGGTGGCACAGGTTTGATGGCTTCGGAATCATGATGCCAAGATCTGCCAAGACAAGTCAAGAACCGAGGTCGCGGACCCTGGTCGTGGTTCCAGGAACTTTTCACTGCAGGGACAAAGCCATGCAACAGACTGCACTTGACACACATGCGGATGAAAAATGGCATGGAGCAGTTCCCGAACTTGCCTACCATGGGGAGAGATCAGCAGATGTGGCCTCAAACGCGAGGAATGCCACCTCCTTGCCTGGTTGCTGTGCTCCCACTGAGTCACTAAGTGCCAAGCATACCATAGCTCCCATTATCGGAAAGCTGGTTCAGCCGACCCCGAAGATCCTCAGCAAGAAAATCCTAGGTAGGTAAAGCGAGGCACAAGACCAGAGAAAACACAAGACGGCTCCTGCTGCTCCCGATGCAAATCGTCTATCACTCGGTACCTGCTCATCACCACGAATTCAATACTCATCATGCACAAAGAGATTTAAACTCGCGTCTCAACACTCAGGTTGACGCATGTACATGATCAAAACTCCCATGGAGATGAGCACAATTCCCACCTTCCAAGAACCACACGGAATGCAAGAGGACCCCTTTGCCGATTCGTCCGACTTCGGCAAGAAGCGCTGAGCGTTCGACCATGATTTGGTTCAGCGAAGGCCTACTTCTCGGGACCTGACTTCGTGAAGTTCGATGCACAGAAAAATCTCAATCTCTTGAACGAGATCAGAACTGTATGCGTGACTCCATCAGTCTTGATAGCACGCACCATCGTCCGAGACGCCTCAGCCGACACACAGAAGCTCAAGAATCCTCGTGAAGGATTGCAAAACTACTTGGAGCAACTGTTTCTTGGCCGCCGGCTGCTCAAAACTGTAGGAAATTCACAAGGTCATCCTAAAAAAGGGTGGATGGAACCTAGTATTTTCTGAACTTTCGTGGCAATGCTGATGCTTGCGGTATCCTTCGGGGCTGCAGAGGGTGAAAACGATCACACTCTGTCTGTATTGAAATCGCCAATGGCCGTCACCTGCAGCCTTTGCTACATGTCCCTGCCAAAACAGCTGCACCAATCCCACACGTCCATGCATCATCAAGCTGCCACATCTTTTCAAGAGGACGGCTTAGCAAGTTAGCAAGCAAACGTTTCAAAGTTCGACAATTCCATCCTACGTATTTAACGTCCGCAACAGCTTCAAGATGTCGATCGACATCACGTAAACATTGTTCACAACTTGTAACTGTGGGTCACGGTGTCGCTGGCAAAACTATTCCGGCTCCCACGGTTGCGACACCAAGGTCGACGGCATTCTGTGCCATTCAAATTGGAGATCCAAATGTGGCAGAAACGCCTGCAGTTCACCAAAGCACCTACCGTGGTATTTGTCTCTGGAAAAGTTTTTTTTCGAACGCGCAAGGCTCGCAGTTGGAGCCCATCAGCACCGACCTATCCTAATTCACTTACGAGTGGCTTAAATTAGCGTCCATGGTCCCTGCTTGGCTTGTGCACGACTTTCTGCCAGTACTTGCGATCCTGACATTTGGGATGGACCTGCCGAAATAAGGAGGTGTTGTCCATCCCAACGACTCCAGACGCCCTGTGAGCATGGCGTACTTGTTGAGAGGAGGGAATCTCGAAGAATGGTGTATATGGTCATGAGGAGGGGCCTGATCTGACAACAAGTGATCTATGCGCTGTGCTGCCTGTGTCATACAAGATTCTGCCCAATGTATTTTTGGGCGTCCAGGGCGGTTGGGCGCTCTTATGTGGCGATAGGCGTGGGAGTTCATATATGTACCCTTGTTTTCAATGGACTCCGGGTGCCTATGAATATGACCAAATAGCTGTAAGCGCTGTTGAGAATACAGTTGGGGCGGTGTTTGTACCCGGCGGCTAGCGTAAGCCAAAGAAGCCAAGTACTGGTTCGAGCACGGGGTGTCAGAAGCGTCTAAAACTCTGTGATAGAATGCTGACTTGATTTTAAAAATGCGCCGAAGGGATTTGTAGTGAATAGTATCGCGCTTACGAATTTGTGGGGACGTCAACAAGACACTGTCCATTGCATACATTAATATGGTAAGTACTATGGATCTATATACCGTAAGTTTCCAAGAGGGTGGGAGAGACGCATGAGACAACAACCGGCGAAGCAGTTTAGAGGCAGTAACTGCCTGAGAGACGCGATACGAGGTGTTCTTGCGATTGCTGTTCGACGGATCCAAGTAGACTCCTAGATATTTAACTTCATCCGAAAGAGGCACAGGACTAAGCGGATGATGTATGCCTCCACAATAGCTGCATTCGCATTGATCATTGGTTTGTGGAGCATAGTAAATTCGCTGTGTTGAATGCAGGCGTAGGTGCTCGCATTTGTCTTCATTAAGTGTAAGTCCTCTCTTGTGACCTTGAAATTGGACCGCATGCAAAAGGCGATTCATTTGCTCCGCGGAGCATGATAAGAGAACAGTGTCGTCCGCATATTCCAAGTCCCAAAGAGGAGAAGGGATGTGAAACACTCCAGCAATTTCTCCGAACTTGGACTGATAGTCCAGCTCTACGTCATGAAAGAGGTGAGTCAGAACAAAGCCAAATAGATAAGGAGAGAGAGGACAGCCTTGGCGCAGTCCCTTGGCGTATGAATAGCGGATTTCTGGGAAGAATCGCGCATCACAAATGTGGGGTTGGCATAGAGCGCCATGATTACCTTGCGCGTATGCGGGGGGACCCCCATATGTTGCATGGCGGCATCAACGGCGGTAAAGGTGACTGAATCAAAAGCTTTATTCCAGTCTATAAATAGGGCGTGGAAGGGCGAATTCTGTCTTTCAAAAACCTCTAACAAGCGCCGAATTATGTGAATCGGTTGTGTGGTAGAGCAGTTCTTGCGAAAGCCAAATTGCCTATCTCGGACCCTAGGGTCTAAATGATGCTGCAGCTTGTGTTGCAACATAGAGGCAAATATTTTGTAAGAGATATTGGTGAGGGAAATTGGACGATAATTGGAGAGGAGACGGGAATCTTTTTGTGTATTTTTAAGGATCAGGACCACCTCTGAAAACAACCATGAGGAGGGAACTATTGCCTCCGCATGATATTGATTATAGTGACAAAGGAGATAGAGTTTAAGGATATAGGGGGCGTGCTTGTAAAAGGGGTATCAATTTCGGGGACAAGCGCAAAAGGGTGGTTAACTGGAACAGGAGGATCTACTTCCGAGTGCCAGACCTGAGTAGCTAGATAATCAGCGAATGTTTTAGCTCTTTGGGAGGAAGAGACCACTTTCCCTTGTGGGTTGTAGAAGCCTGTGGCTCTAGGTTTAAACTCGGAGCGAATCTGGCGAGCGTGATCCCATTGGTGTACCGAGCTACCATGAAAGTCGTTTACAAGATGTTGCGCAATAAAAAGTTTCTTGTCAGCTCGCGCCGATTTTTTAATGGATTTTCAAGGGAGCGACCGCTGTGTGTGTGGTATTCTGAAATGTAGAGATAAGGCGAAGCGTTCTTTCGGAGATCCATGGCTTCTTTGCCGCTAATGGCAATTCTGGTATCAGGTTCAAACTGTCTTTAATCTGAGAGTGTATAAAGTCATCCTGCGAATTGGAGCTTCTCCAAGGCAGCCGAGCTGATCTTGGGTTTGGCCGTGGCGAGCAGCTTTCTTTTCTCCTCGATCTTCTCAGCTTC